TCCAATTGATGGAACCTGTGAAGGTAAATATGACAAAACTTTCCAAAACGTTATATGTCAGCGAGCAACAGAAAAAAACAACATTCCCCTTTGTGGCATCTGTCTTTCATGGCTACATTTTCGAAACCTGGGACCTGGGACCTGGAACGTCGAACCCAACCCACAAGTAGAGAGTAGAGCTCAGAACTCAGGTACGGTACAGAGCGAAGAGCGACAGTCGACTCCTGATCCAAATTGTACTAGATTTATGAGAGAGGTACTAGCGTACTAGGTGGAACGTGATTGTGCTAGATCTAGTACAATTGTACTAGGTTTTGTGTGTACTAGAAATAGCATCCTTGCCAGCAAATTCCATAGGAATACACTCGGTGTCATTGTTGACGAAAGTCTCAAAGCTAATTGAACAAGTTATACTAGCTAAAATCAGTAATAATATTTGCTGTTGCTACAGTACCTACCTACTACAATATTTAAACAAGCAGTGCAGTCAATTTGGAAGTTTTTGAATACGAAAAGATTTATAGTCCAGTCTGTTTAAATCATGTCTTGTTCAAAGTGTAAAGAACCTTTAAATGATAAGGAGATGAAGTACAAAATTATTTGCGACTTCTGTAAATGTATCTACTGCTTAAACTGTTCAAAATTTTCTATTTCGGAGGGACAGGTCACTCAAATGAGGGCCAGAACAATGCTTTTTGCATGTTGCAACTGCATTGATTCAGTTCTAAAAATAAATAAGGACAACACTGAAAATAGTTCTGCAATATTTTGTGATCATAAGGACTCTGTACCCAATAATATTATGCAGAATTTTCTAGAAAACATGAAGACAGACATAATTGGGCAAATATCTCAAGAATGTGATGCCTTCAAGACGGTTTTAACAAGAGAACTAAGACCGAGTACCATTAATTATCAGGCTAATTCTGATGTAGCTGATATGCAAGAGGTACTCGCTAGGTTAGATCTGCTCGAGAAAAATAACAAAAATTTACTTAAAAAGGTTTCTACATTGGAGGATGAGATCAAAGTTCTTAAAAAGTCAAGCATATCGAAAAAAACCTCACCTGAGGTGGAAAACTTGCGTAAACAAACACCTCAAAATAATCAAAACATTCAAAGTAAGGAACAAACTAAAACTAGTAGTAATGTGGAGGAAAAATCTGTAGGAAAACTGCAAACTACACTATCTGCTACGTCTGCTCAAAATACAATAATTGTGGGCACTGCCTCCAATGTTAGTTCATTCTCTGCTGCAGAGCGGAGACAGTGGATCTACATTGGTCGATGCAATCCGTCCACAACTGAAAAATATATTACTGATTATATGGCTGACAATTTGGAAATTACCGATGTTAAATGCTTTGTTTTGGATAAGAATGAAGATGTTTCTTCTTTTAAGATTGGAATAAAAGAAAGCGTTGTAAAAGGGCTATTAGATCCGAATTTATGGCCAAAAGGAACTGCTGTCAAGGAATTCCTTCCTAGGAGGCAACCCTCGTGGCAACATAAGGCAACAAATTTTCGGCAAACAAATCAAATAGTTCAGAGTTAATGGACAGCTTAACAGTATTTTACCAAAATGTCCGTGGTCTAAAAACTAAATTAAAAGAATTTCTGACTTCTGTGATATCTGAGTCTTACAGTATAATTGCTATAACTGAAACAAATTTAGATTCTGATATAAATGATTCGGAGCTATTTTCTGGTAATTACATAGTGTATCGTACTAATCGTGGTTCTGACAACAGTTCTAAAAAGTCCGGAGGTGGAGTACTCATAGCAGTGAAAAGTGAGTTCAAATCTCAAATAGTTGCAATAAATAACCCTACCGTGGAAGAGGTTTGGGTTGCTGTGCTAGTGGGTAAGTCACATTATTGCATTGGTACAGTATACATTCCTCCTAGTATGGATTCGTCTGTCTATACTGCTCATATTGAATCTGTTGAGATGGCTCGCAACCAGTTTAATGAAATTATGGTGATAGGAGACTATAACCTTCCAAGATTAGATTGGCGTGTATCCGAGGAGTATATTGGCTTACTTCCTGGCAATGTTACTGGTGTTACAGAGACACTAGTGTGTGATAATATGGCATATTATGGTCTTGCCCAGTATAATGGTGTAAAAAATGACAATGGTAAAACTTTAGATCTTTGTTTTACTGATTTAGAAGTGCTGTCACTTAGTAGAACTGTAGGATTAGTTAAGCCAGATGTCCATCATCCTCCACTGGAAATATGTATTTCTATGGATTTCAGTGAGGGTTTAAAGCCTGATTGTGGTTGGAATTATGATTTTGAAAATGCAGATCACTACAGATTAAACCAGTATTTTTTATCTATTGACTGGTATTCACTCTTAGTGGGGAATATGGACAATTTGGTTGAGAAATTTTATTATATTTTGTTTGAAGCTTTTGAAAAATACGTACCTGTAAAACACACAACTGTTAGTACTTTTCCTGCCTGGTTCTCAAAAGAACTAAAAAACCTTATATTTAACAAAAAACAAGCTCATAAAAGATTTAAACACACCGGCAGGCAAGAGGATTACACAGTGTTTTCTGGGCTAAGGCAACAATGCAAAACTTTAACTGAAATGGATTATAACAAATTTATTGAAAATTCAGAAAACTCAATTAATAACAACCCTAAACACTTGTGGAATTTTATTAAAACAAAAAAGGGAAGGAGTGATTGTCCCAAGATTATGAAATTTGGTGACAGAGTTGCGGATAATGGAAATGATATTTCTAATTTGTTTGCGGATTTTTTTTCTTCTGTTTATACTTCTGATTCACAAAATTTATCTGACTCTGACTGCATTCCGGAGTTTGACCAGGATTATTCAGATATGTATCTGAGTGCCCCTGAAATAGAGAAAGTACTAAAAGAGCTTGACAGTTCAAAGCCTATGGGTCCAGATGGTGTTCCTCCATCTGTTTTGAAATGTTGTGCTGAATCTCTTTATATGCCACTGTATATAATATTTAATAGATCACTAAAAATTGGTGCAGGGCCGGACTGGGTCTTCGAAGCGGCCCGGGCGAATGATTCAAACCGGCCCTTTTTTATGTAGAAAAAAATCTTCAAGTCGAACAGTTATATTACGTATAAATCAAAAAATATAAAATTCTATGAAAAACAAAATAAATTCCTATATTACGTATAAAACAAAAAATATAAAAACGTATGAAAAACAAAATAGATTCTAATTAACTAATTAACACAAAATTTAATTGTGCAACAATTGCACATTTGGTAAGTGAGGAACAAAATAGATTCTAATTAACTAATTACCACACAATTTAATTGTGCAACAATTGCACATTTGGTAAATGAGGAACAAAAGTTTATGATTCAAAAATTAGGTATAGGGTCTTCCAACGAGGACTGAACAGGGGCTTATTTTTGACCATACTAGAAGTACATTTTTTCCAAAAATCGTATAAAAAATGGCATGTTCCATTTAAAAAACACCCTGTCTATATCGTAACTCTTCTGTTTCTGGTTCAAATGTTTTTTTGGTGACGTTTTCGAGTTCCACGGAAAAAAATACATCGATTGACTATTTTGGATTTTTAAAAAAATACAAGGAAGGTCAAAAATAAGCCCCTGTTCAGTCCTCGTTGGAAGACCCTGTACCTCTTAAAAAAAAATTATTACAATAGTAAAAGCAGCTCAGCAGCGACGGCAGCAGGTTTAAATGAGCTGCTCCCTTAAACCTTTACAGTGATTTGTCAAATAATTCACAATTTCGTTATTTTCAATAGACATTAAAATATCTTTTTCGCAAGACATAAGCATGAAAGCCTCTAAGTGGTCTTGAGTCAGACAGCTTCTTAATCTATTTAAAATAAACTTTAATTTGGAAAACGACCTTTCACAGGCTACTTGAGAAATGGAAAGAGTAAGTAAATATTTATAAGCTTTTTCTAGATTAGGGTATGCCTCGGCATATAAGTTGTATTTCTGCAAAACATAGTAACAACAACTAATACAGTTTTTGCAGAACTTATGCGAAGTGTTATTTTCTGCTCCAGCTTCATCTTGTATAAATTCTTCTTTGGTATTTTCTCTTTCTTCTGGCAATACTGATGATAACGTATTCCACTTGGAACCAAAATCTAAAAGTTCCATTTGTAGATTATCTTCTATGATATCAGGATAAAACTTGGTTAGCTTTTCACAAACTTTTTGGAGAATGTTTGTCGAGAAACTTTGAAGTTTAGAGAAATTTGAAGGGTGAAAGCACTCGAAGTCCTCATACAATTCTTTATGCTTCCCAAATCTAGCTTCTAAGACATTAATTACTTTGTCCATAGTGACATTGAAAACTTCTACTCGAAACTTGTCCACTGGATTTTGGAGTGCTTCATCTTCACAATTTTCATCGTGGAATTTCTTTTTTCGTGTTCTCCTTCTAGCACACATTTCTCTGTTGACCTCCAGCGGAATTTCCTTTTCCATAAAGTGCCCATTCACTTTGAGTATAAATTCTTCCGTTTCTACCGCGACTTTATCAAACTCTCGAGAAAATGTTTTGAGGGTTTTTATCGTATCTTCGACCATGCGGTAGGCTTGTAACAAATCCATTCCTGACGTCTGCAGATACTTCGAAAGTGGGGAAGTTAGCATGAAAATTTTTTTGAACAAAATTGAAGTAATAACCGTCTCATACTTCAAAAATCCATCAAGAAGAGTTTGTGCTGTATATCGTACCTCTGCATTGAAGCTCTGAGATTCTGCTATTTCATAAAATGTTTCGCATAATTGCACGAAGATCCCGTTACTATCACCAAAAATTTTTAATAGTGCCTTATCTTTGGACCACCATCTGGTTTCTCCGATTACATTCAAAAAACTACTTGTTGACGCTGATTTCCACACATTCATTCTTAAATACGATTCTCTCACAAAGACGGCTGATTTATTTTAGGAGTCCAAACAACGAAATAACCGGAACTGTCAGTTTTGTCACGTCTCCTATCACCAAATTTAGCACATGTGCATAACACCAGACATGTATTTGGCCAGGAGAGAATTTTGACAGCCATGTTGTGAAACCATTGTACTGCCCTTGCATGTTTGCTGCGCCGTCGGTTGAGTTACCAATACAGTTAGTGATATCAAGCCCCAACTGAGATATGCATGAGGCCACCATTTCGTACATATCTTTTCCCTTGCTGGAAGTACAATTGATTAAATTAATTAACCGCTCATGTACTTTATTACTTTTCACATATCGGATAATTATAGAACATTGGTCAACTACATTTATATCTTGAGTAGTATCAATTTGTATAGAATATATTTTGGCATTTTTAACTTCAATCGCAATTTTTTGCATAATAAGGCTTGATATTGCAGCTATTATGTTATTGACCGTTGACTTTGACAAAAAGGTTACCAAATTACCTCTGCCTTTTGAATGACTTCCTACTCTTTGAAGACGGGTTTGACTTTTTACCGCAACTTCTTCAATATGTTTTCGCAATAACGGATCAAATTTTGAAATTACTAAGACAATTTCTAGAAAATTTCCGTGATCTATATTCTCATTTAGCAAGGAATATGCCGCTTCATTCTGGCTATCGCCCCTATAGCTTAGACCACGTTTTCCAACTAATTTTATGGTTTCGATCACCCTTTCTAGAATTTTCCTGTTATTTTCTAATTTAGCTCTTCTTTCTGCAGCAGCACTTGAAAAAAGCAAATTATGCACATCTTTGTTTTTCTTATGTATTAAGTAAGCTTCGGTACTGAGTATATGGCCTTTAGTTGATTCATGCTCTTCAAGTCTGGTGTATATATGTTTTACAGAATAATTAATACCAGCAGCTAAACTATTCACCCCAGTATCTCTACCAAAAGCTAAGCACACCCAACAGTGAACCATTTTTTCTGAACTGTTGAAACTTACCCATGTTCTTCTAGATCCAGATTTTCTGAAATATATTAAACGGGCATTGTAATTACTTTCAACAAGGTCAATGGGTTGTTGAGGGTGGCTGTTTAGGAACAGTTGCAGCTCTTTTAGGTTTGATGGTTTTTTAAAGGAACAAACCTCTACCTGGTCCCTATCTTCACCTTCGCTGATTTCTTCCTGTTGATCATTGGCTTTTGCATTCACATTTTCTTGAAAAGAACTAACAGGAGCTGAAGCTAGAGCAGCGGCGGATTTAGGATTCCTTCTAGGGGGGGGCGATCCATCAGGGCCTCAGGCTCAGATAAGAAATAATAAAAAACCGACTTAAATATACAGAGTGGCAAAAAAGTCGCGTATAATACCTGTAACTTTCTAATTACCTCGTATACGAAAAAGTGACCTTAATGAAAGTTGCTCAGTAAATTAGGGACATAAAGCTTCCGTATTTTTTGCTCGGTATCCGTATCGGTATCGTACTGCGCATGTGCAGAAGCGATACGGAGGCCGAGATTCCGTACGTACAACGTAACGTTACGGCCCTCTCGCGGTATTCGTATCGGTAACGTATCTTGACATTCCTGACGCATGTGTCAAATTTCAAATGAATATAACCTCCCTTTTCTTCCGGGTTGATTTAATTTGTTTAGTTTATACTTTCTTGAGTTTCTTGTGTGTTTAGTGCTTCTCTATCGCAAAAAAAATAACAATTTTAAGGTTAGATATAAAAACGCCGAAGTTTTGAGACAAAAATGTCTAGGTTATGAAATGCGTTTACGTTTACCGAAACAGGGAGCGCTTTAACAGCCTTTTCGCTTGTCAACGTATCTAGTTGCGTTACGGATACCGATACCGATGAATTATTTCAAGTAGCTTTATGTCCCTAATATTTCCCACAATTCTACTTAAACGTATTGCCTGTCACTTCTGGTTTGTTTGCTATCTAGACCAACTTTCTTTTTTTCAAATAAAACACCCTGTATGTGATTGCATATTTGGATTCTACGTAAAATTCTGAGCAGATTTCATGTGATATACCCTATACCTAAGTTCAACTGTTATGGAAATATTGACAGTTGAACATTGACTTTTTGCAACTTTGACAGGCTGTAAAACCTGAACGGTTAATTTCAGAGGAAAACCGATTTCACATTCCTATCTTAGATTTTCATAAACTATCATTTGACATCAACATTTAATTTAATCGGAGATTAAATTTAATTGGAATTTTCAATTATAGATTAAATTCAAAGTTGGTGCGGATTTACGTCATCCGCAGTCGATTCGCTCCCAGCTCGCTGCTGACAAACGTATTTAAAAGTATTAAAAATTTGGAAAAATAGCAAAAACCATATGGAATTTCATGTTGGATAATGCTTGATGAATATGTTTGTGTTTTCGTTAAAAATTTCGTTGTTGCGTCGCTCAATAGGGGGGGGCGCGCGCCCCCCGCGCCCCCCTCTAAATCCGCCACTGAGCTAGAGATACTACGTTTTGCTCAACCATTTCGAAAGGAGTCAATTCATCAGTTGCCTCTTCATTTGAATTTGAAGTTGTATTTGTAGGTGCCTCTTGAAATTCTTGAGAATGAGAAATGTCGTTTTCTTTGTTTTCTAGTTCAAGAGCATCAACACTTTCTTTGTTTTTTGATGCCTCGTTATCTTTGGCGTTTTGCAAATTCACCAATCTTTGTTTTGCAGCAAATAATTCTGATATGGTATGGCAACTCTCCGCGCTTTTATCCAAAAGTCTTTTCTTTTTTTCCCTTTCCTTTTCCGCACCTCCTTTTCTTTTTTTCGTTTGTTTGATTTTTTCATTTTCTCTATTATTATTACCACCAAACATATTTACTGAAAGAAAATAATAAAAATTAAAAGTTAATTACATTTAAGTTACTGCGGTAAATACATTTATTTTGGTCATTCGCTTGAAATTGAATTGCAATGCGTTTAATTAGAGTGAAAACCTTAAAAACATACACAAACATAACCTATAACCTACACAGACACACACACACACACACAGATGATTTAAGCCAAGGGCCAATATTGAAACTAAAACTACAACAAACTCAAACAACAACAAAAATTTTGCTTACCTTAAATAATTTATTTATGGTAATCAGGTACGCTGCGGAGTCCAGTTTTGTTAATGGTTTTCGTGGATTTTCATGGAAAGATGAAAGATATATCAAGCGGTGACTGGTACGACGAAGCGGCAGGCTTGGGCCTTGGCTGATTACTACATTCAACCTTTCTTGTTCTTGTCACTGCTTGCCTTTTTAGCTTGCGTTCGGTATTGTATTGAAGCGGAGATCAGAGTATCAGAGCGCTCGAAATCCTAACGAACGCGATTGAGCCTACACCCTACACCGAGCAATGAGCACACTTTTTAATAATCGAACGATTCGAACGGTAAATTCAAGCTCGGAGAACTCGGATTAAAATACCGAACGCGCGGTTCTACGTCGAATTAGAGCGGTAGTGTGTAAAAATTTATTTATTATTTATATTTAATTTTTGATCGATCCAATTTTTGGTTGATCGTCGCAGAACCGACCGGCCCATCAGCCCCTAAAACCCACCCGGCCCATCGGGCTGCGCCCGATCGCCCGGCCTGCCAGTCCGGCCCTGAATTGGTGAGTTTCCAGCCGTATGGAAAAAATCTTTTGTAGTTCCAATTTTTAAATCTTTGGACAAAGGAAATGTCGGCAATTACCGTCCAGTTAGTATTCTTTCAGCTGTTCCTAAATTATTTGAGCATTGTGTTGAGATAAGACTAAAAAGGTTCTTTGAGAAGATAACAGTATCAGGGCAGCATGGTTTTACCTCTGGTCGTTCTGTTGATACCAACCTGTTTTTATATACCAACTTTATTTCTACTGCTATGGTGGAAGGTGCTGAGGTTCATACCATTTATATGGACTGGCAAAGCTTTTGATAGAGTGAGCCATGCTGTTTTGATATCAAAATTGAGAAAGTATGGTATTGCTGGGTCATTATTGGAATGGATGGAATCTTATTTATCGAATCGGTACCAACAAGTAAGGATAGAAGGTTATCTGTCTAATATATTTTTTGTCACATCAGGGGTTCCACAAGGGTCACATTTAGGTCCCCCTTTGTTTAATATCTTTATAAATGACATTTGTTCTTTCTTGGAAGTTGCATATTTATTATTTGCTGATGACCTAAAAATATATGCCAGGATTCTGTCACAACAAGATCAAGTTAAAATCCAGAATGATCTTAACAGGATAAACAGATGGTGTACTCTTAATAGCATGACTCTAAACACAGAAAAGTGTCAAGTTTTGCGGTTTAGTAGGCTTAAAAATAACTTCCCTATGACTTACATGTTAGGTGGTAGTCTGTTAAAGGAGGTCTCTGTTGTGAAGGACCTGGGTGTGTATCTAGACACAAAATTGACATTTTCTGAGCACTATGAAAAAGTCATAGCCCGTGCGGGTAGAATGTTGGGATTTGTTAAAAGATCTTGTCAGGATTTTACAAATGTAAAGACACTTAAAATTCTTTTTGTTAGCTTTGTGAGATCTATCCTCGAGTTTTTTAACATAATTTGGTCACCATTTTTTAATATATACATAGATCGCCTTGAGAGCATTCAGCGTAAGTTTATTAAATTTGTACGTTACAAACTGAGTAGAAAGGGTATTTTTTTATCAGTGGAAGATACATATAAGTATTTGCAATTGAATTTTCTTAGGGACAGAAGGGAGTATTATGATGTATGTTTTGCATTTAATGTTATCAATAATTATATTTGTAGCCCAGAATGTCTTTCAGTAATAAAATTTCATGTTCCTGGTTACATAACTCGTAATGCTCCACTATTACAAGTCCCACCGAGTCGTACTCTGTATTTTATGTATAATCCAGTAAACCGTATTAGCAGAAATGTAAATAAATTTTGCCATCAACTTGACTTCTTTACTGTTTCAAAAGATAGATTTAAGACTTCTGCCAAGAAGGCAATTTTAGGTTAAGAAATATTTGTATTTAATCTTGTAAATGTGAATGCGTAAATAAATAAATAAAATAAATAAAATAAAATAAAATAAAGCATTTTTCGTTTTTAGAATTGCATGTTACCCTTAAGACTGTAAGTGATAGGCTGAAAGAAAGGGAATTTTATTACGGTTCCCAGTCAAGTTTGGGCAGGGTTTTGCCCACATTAGGATTTACCTTTAGAAAGGATGATCCAAGAAGAGCCCTCATGGAAAAGCCTGATGTGCGCCACATGAGAAGAGTTTTTGGGTAGAAATTTTAGTACTGTATAATTTTATTAATGGAAAATTTGAGTAGAAATTTTAGTACTGTATATTATTGTTGGAAAAATTTGGGTTCTATTATTTGAAATTAAATATTTATATAATATGTGTGAAAATACTGCAGTTGTTTCTCTCTTTTGCAAGTAAACCCCCTTCACCATTTAATTCTGTAGCTACCCAAGGAAATAACTAGCATCAATAAACCGCTCGCATATACCATCTAACCTTTAAAAATCAACAGAGTACTTGGGCGGCCAACTACAGCAACAACTATTAGAAAGTATTACGTTTGTTCTTACAGATATATGTTTAATATTACTATGCAGGATTTTAATAACTTAACTTCTTTCAAAGAAATTAAAAATAAATTTTTATTCTGAAATGTATATCATTTTTCTAAATACGACCCTGTCGTTTATCCCAGCTGACGGAATGAAAACGCTTACGCATGCTGGCAACCTAAAGAATAAGTTACTAGGAAATGTCAACGCGAACTGTCAACTTCACTTTCTATCGTGATTACGACTATACGCTTTTTTCTCCTCTTGTCGCCTCCTTATTTATTCTACCTTAATGGGAGGAAGTTAGGGGAATATGACACAATGGAGTACTTGCATCAATTTTTTTTTATCGCTGATTTCGTTAGTCGATAAAAAAATAAGTCAACACGTGTTTTTTCTTTTTCTTCTTAGTCAAAAATTGACGGAGATACAACGCTATGAAAAATGCCTATGACGTCACTTATTATATAAATTAGTGACGTCGCACATGCTCGGTATATCTATATATACATAACTTAATATTTGTATAACTTCCGAAATAATCATATTTCGCCCAAATAAAAAAATACGTATCGATTTCCTACAGAGTTTGCAATAAACAATAATCAATTTAATTTTTCATGCAAGTAGGTACCCTTAGTTTCAACCAATGAAATTCACTGTGACTGCTTGATTAGTTAACGAATTTTGTCTTGGAACATATAACATTCATTCCTGCTCGATAGATACGAATTCCACACCCCCACCTGGCATAGGTTGCTTGAACGCGCTCCTGACCAACCGAATAGCTCTTTTCACGTGGCTCCGGTTTAACTAACCGGGTTACTAAACGGTAGAGAAATGACATACCGTTTTCTAACCCGGTTACAAAGTGACGTCATGGACAGTGATGAGTGATGTGCCTGTAGACAATGTCAACGTAAACAATTGATTGTCTACGCGTAGACAATTCGAATTGCTTACGTGAGCATTTATCTACACATTAGACACTTTAAGTTTGACCAAACACGTTAACGTAATCTTTAGACGTAAACCCTATTTTTTACTATAGCGTCGAGTGATCGTCGATACTCACAAATCAGTTTAAGTTAAATTTTCACGTAAACGTTAACGTAATGTCTCACAATCATGACCTAAACTCTAAATATTGTTGTGAAAAGGACAAATTAGAAATAATTTTTCGTATTTTGATTATTTTGAATTACATGACAACTTTTTTTTTTAAGGTTAAAATACATTTGGCAAAGGTCGACGCCGGAAATCTGGCTTTCAGGCCCACTCGGCCTAACGAACGTTTATGGATAAGGTAGTAAGGTACACGCAAAGACCCGTTAAATAACGTGACACTTAATACGCTATTTTTGTTGAAAAAAAATGCGCATGCGCAGCTGTCAAATCTTACGTTAGCGTTAACGTATTTGGTCTAACTTAAAGTGTCTATTGTCTACATGCGGCGTAAACAATAACTTATTTTAAAAAATTCGAAAAAAAATATCAAAAGTTACTATACTATCACTATCACTTCGATATCAGCATTCACTGATTATAAAATATCAGGAAAACCAATAATAAAATAAAAAAAAATTAAAAAAAGGAAAGTGTGAGGTTAGAATTAAACGTCATTTATATTATTTTACATTGTTGACACGTTGTCTACATTGTCTACACGTAAAGTAGACAATGAATCAATGAAAGTCTACGTGTAGACGCACTTCCCTGGTGATGGATACCTACCACTCGAATTTCGAATTTGAGCGGTATGTTGCGGTTTGTTAAACCGGAGCCACGTGAAAAGGGTTTTATGGCTGAGTAAATTTTATCTAGAGCAATCTAGAACGGTCAGAGCGCGCTGCTCGGGTGATATCCGACGTTGAATCTCCCCAGGGCACGGTGCTTTATAAGAAATTTATGAACTTTGCGTTGCGTACACGCGAATGACGTCATTCCAGTGATTGAAAATTGGTGCACGACTTATTTGACATGCACTTTTTCAATCGCACTTGACGTCATTTACGAATTGCGTCATATTCGCGTGAACTCAAAGTTGCATCAATTTCAAATAAAGCCCCATGTGATGTAAGCTGGCATACCGATTATTACCGATTACCGAAGTTGCTCTAAAGCAAGGCGGATTGCTCTAGGATCTTTCAAGACCTTCAAGTTTGTTAGAATTTTTATTTGTACTGCTTTTCTTGCTCCAAGCAGATATCAAGAGTAGATCGGCGTTCACTTGTCCCTATTAAAAGCTCTTAGATAGCAACTCCTAGCAGATCTTTCGGATTTTTCGAGCAGGTAGAGTAAGTACAAATGAACTCCCCTTTTCTGTTGATGCCGATTGTTTTGTCACTTGTCATTGTTGTCTTAAAAAAATAAATGGAAAAAATTGTGATGTGATGTTTGGTTTTGTTTTTATATTTTTGTAATTTTGTATACTTGTTTGGAGTTTGGAGTCGTAGTGATCCAAAATTCTGATTTGGTGATGTGATTAGTATTGTATAACTGTGTTATTAATTATTTGAGTACATAGGTACATTGACTTAAATGCAAAACAAAAATGAGTTTTTCAAGCGATGAAGTTAATTTTCTCGTATATCGTTATTTGCAAGAGTCCGGTAAGTTGATCGAGGTTTGCATGAAAAAAATTAGGACTCGAACAAATTACTTCCTCTACTTACAGGATTTCAACATTCCGCCTATACATTTGGTATTGAGTCACACATATCCCAAAGCAACATCAATGGTGCTTTAGTACCTCCTGCCGCATTGCTCAGTATTTTACAAAAAGGCCTCCAATATACTGAGGCAGAAATTAGTATTGGAGAAGATGGTACTGAACAAAGGTTGGTAGAAAGTTTGAGCCTCATTGATGCAGTTATGCCGGATGTAGTTGCCTCAAGACAAAATCAGCAGAATCAACAGAAACAGACTATCAAGAATGAGACAACAGAAGCAAATGGTGAAGAAGGTATGTATCTCACTTGGTTACAGGGTGTTCCGAAATTTATGCACCAAACTTTTATGGCATACTTATTCTATTATAGTTCAAAAGGAAGCCCTAATAGTCCGGGAGGCAGTGAATTTTTTTAGCACTTATTTTCCCAGTTGATGTATATTAAATAGTTTGTTTTCTTGGTGATACAAAACAAGAATATTTGAGTTTCGCAAAAAATTTCGGATGGTTTCACAAGATCACTGAAAAATACAAGTATACTTATTTTCCCAGTCATAAATATTTCACATTTACTACAATAGACCATAAAGTATATGAACATAGCAATTTGGCTTATCTCAGATAGTGGAAAGTCAGTCTTGCTGAAGATTTTCAGATCTTCAATTTTTCACTTGCCAGACGTATTATCCATACTCACAGATTAGCCGGACTATTTTTTTTACGTAATTTCAGTATACTTCTTATTAGTAGAGCTATTTTTATCACTGGAAAAGAAAAGGGCCTTGCATTCGTAAGCTCTAACGCATTTTGTGCCTCAACCCATTGGAAAACCCCCCCCTAAATATATATGAATTTTGTTTAGAATTACCTCGAGAATTACTAACCCTAAAATTCTATTGTTTCATGACTGAGAAAATAAGTACCGAAAATCGTCACTGCCTCCTAGACTATAAAGTCTGTTTTTTTTAAAGATAAAAGTCAAAATGACATTATGTTGGCAATACAATGTAAAATTGTCAATGCTTTCAATTTTTTTATGTAGAAAAGGCTTGTGTTGCCAACATGGTTACTAAATTTTTGACTTGGGGAATTATCTTTAAAAAAAAACAGACTTTACTAGAGTTTCCTACAGAAACATATGTCCGGAAACGCTTTCTTTCCGAGATACAGGGTGTTGAAATTCTAAGAAAAAAACTATTTTTTATCATAATTTATAATTTTCAAAGTCAAAGTCAAAAAATGCTTTATTGTCTAAGAACAAAATTCTCATTGACAAAGCTGTAAAAGGAAAAAAAAAAACATTATACAAAAATAATTCCAGGGCCATAGAGTACCAAGATTGAAATAATCAAAATAAAAATACAATACAAGGTCAGACTAAAACAATAAAATCATTTAAACAGTCATTAAAACAAAAGATGAAGTCACTTTAAAAATCAACATAAATATAAACATAAATACAAAAACATGTTCATTCTAAAATATAAAATACAAAATATCAAAATTGCACAAACGTAAAGTCAACAGACATAGAAGTCATTAAATAAAACTACAAATTATATTCAGACAGTCACAAGAAAGCATCTTGGAAAAATTCTTCTGTGCTATAGTAGGCCTTTGATAATAGAAGCCTCTTAAGATGTACTCTAAATTTTTTACCAGATACTATCTGTCTCAGATGCAGTGGCAAATGGTTAAAGATCTTTTTACTTTGATAGATTATCGAGTTTTTTGTTTGTGTGGAGGAAGGGATAGGAAGGTTCACATTGTGTGTTTGTCGAGTGGTATGTACAGATGAAAATTCGTGTATGTTTTCCTTAAACTTTTTATGAACGAGACATGAAGTCTCTAGTAAAAAAATACTAGGAAATGTAAGCAATTTATGACGCAAAAACAATGGTCTACATGAGTCTCGTAATCCTATCTTAAACATATACCTTACCGCCCTCTTTTGCAACACAAACAACATATTAAAGAGAGACAATGAATAAAAACCCCAGAAACATATTCCATACCGCAAATGGGATTCAACGAGAGCAAAGTATGAACTTTTTGTTGTCCCAAGATCTAGCTTACTCGATATTACTCTGATTGCATAACATCCTGATGACACCTTTTTGCTCACGTATGTTAAGTGAGGCTCAAATTTTAGTCTATCGTCTATGTATACTCCTAAAAACTTACTCGATTTTTGACTGGCAACAGTATCTGCCCCTAAGGTAATTCCCTCAAAACCACATTTAAATGTTAACACATTTGTCTTCGACACATTAAAAGTTAAACAACCACTCTAGATGTTTCATTGAAATGTAGGTACACTGCCTTCTCGACTGCCTTCAAGCAGCAAAAGAAATTTTTTGATGTATTACAAAAAAATTACCAGTGACGTCCGTACCAGATTTATATGGAATATTTTTTAAGAAAAAAATGGTGCGCCACTGCTTTTTCCAAAAATAAAATTATTGTTGAAATCCCCATTCAATTTTGAACACATTTGATCAATTCACTTTTTTCCGAATGTTGGACCGTTTTCAAGTAAATAGACAACAAAATTGGCAGTAGTGCACCATTTTTTTCTTAAAAAAATATTCCATACTAATCTGCTTGGGTAATTCAATATTGTTGTGTCTGATCTTGAATCTTCTAAATGTCGGGCTCTTTTAACAAAATATGAGAAAGACCGAATGTAGTTTCAAAGGCAATATGCTTGAATGCAAAATTATGTGATTATTTTGATGCCTAAGTGTAATTCAGGTAGAAAAGTACTCTAATAAACTAGTGTGCAATTTTCGCTGTGATTAGCCAAAATTGTCGTATGGGTGAGTATATGTAAGAGGGTAATTTTTATAATAATGTGTTACGTAAGGGAGGCCGCACATCAAAGAAACATGAAACGTGAAACATAAAACGTGAAACATGTTTCATGAAAATAGAATAAGAACAAACAAATACAAGTCCGCCCACCAATGAAACGAATTTGTTTTATACGCAAGAAACATTTTTATTACTTGAAATGTGTTTCATGAAATAGATCGTGTTCTATTTTTTTGTTTCAGTTTCACTGTTTCTGTTCATAGGTAATAATTTTGTGAATGTTTGTATATCTACTCTTCCTATAAAACGATTGAAATTTGGCGGGATGATTTTAATTCCTTTGCAACCAAATATATGCTATGTTTATGATTTATATTATTGTATGGATGTACCCAGTAACGTCGTTTCCTTTTTTTTTGCTTTTTGATGATAATAAAAGAGACGCCACAACAGCAACAAAACCTCGTCCTCACTATCCATTGTGTACTACACTCTACTTCACACTTCACTATCCTGAAACGACTTTGCAAATATAATAATTATATTTGCAACAAGAAACAAGAATTATTTTTGTTTCTTCAATTAGTATGCACGAAAGAAACGGTTTCGCTTTTCGTAATTTATTGTTTGATGTTTTATGTTTCATGTTTGATGTTTGATGTTTGATGTTTCACGTTTCATGTTTCTTTGATGTGCGGCCTGCCAAGGCAGGCCGCACATCAAAGAAACATCAAACATGAAACGTAAAACATCAAACAATAAATTACGAAAAGCGAAACCGTTTCTATCTATACATGAAACACGTTTCATGTAATAAAAATGTTTCTCGCGCATGAAACAAATTCGTTTCATTGGTGGGCGGACTTGTATTTGTTTGTTCTTGTTCTATTTTCATGAAACGAGTTTCACGTTTTATGATACATGTTTCACGTTTCATGTTTCTTTGATGTGCGGCCTCCCAAATTACGAAAAGCGAAACCGTTTCTCTCTTGCATACTAATTGAAGAAACAAGAATAATGTTTGCAAAGTCTTTTGGTAGTGTAGTGGAGTATAGAAGGTAGCACACAATGGAAAGGGTTGACGAGCAACAATAACTGCTGTTGTGGCAACTTTTCTATTATCGTCAAAAAGCCAAAAAAAATAAAGGAAACGACGTTACTGGGTACATCCATACAATAATGTATTTTTTACCTGTTAGGCAACATTTTGGCAGGCTTTTTCTTGTGATTGTCTATTCGAGTACTTCTCCATGTTATACTTATACAATTCTCCATCTTGCTCTACCACTGAAACGAATACAATATTGAATTCTTGGTCGTAATTAATTTTTTTATGATGTATTTATGACCAAAAACCGTGAAACTGAAACGAAAAAATAGAACGCGATCTATTTCATGAAACACGTTTCAAGTAATAAAAATGTTTCTCGCGCATGAAACAAATTCGTTTCATCGGTGGGCGGACTTGTATTTGTTTGTTCTTATTCTATTTTCATGAAACGTGTTTCACGTTTAATGTTTCATGTTTCTTCGATGTGCGGCCTCCCGGGTGAACTTATGACATACGAATTAGTAAAGAGACATGAATTTGATTTTTTTCTCTTATTTTTATTTATTTATTGACGAGTAAAGCCCATTTTTTTACTATAGATAATTGATAAACGAATGCATACAATAATATACTCCTGGACAAAATTATCGCACCACTGCACATAAGCATCACCATAAGCAGTGGTGCGATAATTTTGTCCAGGAGTATATAATACTAATTTAAAAAAATATATATAAAATATATCACATGTACAGGGTGAGTCATTTTGGGTCAAAATAGCTGATTTCTGTTTTCCTCTGTATCTCAGTTATTATCAAAATTTTTGAAAAATATCAAATTACGTTTTTGTGTGATGTTTCACGTAGAATCCAGTGGCATACTCAGATTTTTTTTAGGAGTATTATTTCCTGAGATATGATCCAAATTTTAACTTTTTTAAATGGGACACCCTATATTCTACATCGTTGAATTGGATGTTTTTTTTTGTAATTTCAACGATATATAACACTTCATAGTTTTAATAATTTTAACTGTCAAAAAGGCCACAAATAGTATATTATATACCTAGATAGAGAAGTTGGTGATTATATACCCAGCGCTTTTATAAACTGAGGCGCGTAGCGCCGAGGTTTATAATGCGTAAGGTATATAATGACTTTCTCTACCGAGAAATATACAGTGAGTTCATATAATCCCGCATAAATTCATTATTTTGAAAATGGTAGAATTTTTGAAAAATCGCTCAGACACGTCAATTTTGTTTTTTTGTTTGAAATTTTTCGATATATTCTTTATCATACAGGGTTTCTCAAATGATAGTTTATGAAAAACTAAGAACTAAGAATGTATTTATTTGTCACTCATTTGTAAAACGTCACTTATCAAGTCAAAACATAACCAGCGAAAATTGATTTTTACAAGCTACTGG